ATGAGACAAAGTATATGTGAACTGCTGTATGAAAAGTGAATTTACTCTGTAAATCTTCACCCAAATCCTAATTAAAAAAAAAAGTAAAAATCCTGCCCTAATGGAGCTTACTATTTCTTCTTTCTCTTCTTTTTTTTTTTTTTGGACGCTGGTAGAATATGGGGCCTTAGTGACCATGAATCAATCCTTGAAGCCGTTCTTGTAAATGAGTGAATATCATATTAATTTGGGGAACTTATTAATATTTTTACACCTGTTTTAATACATTGGAGCTCTGGTGGTATAGTGGGTAAGGCATTTGGCATTTGGCTGCTAACTAAAAGGTCAGTGGTTTGAACCAGCCATGCCATGGAAGAAAGATGAGGGGAGTCTGCTTCTGTAAAGATTTACAGCCTTGGAAACGCAACAGGGGTTGCTATGAGTTGGAATCGACTCGACGGCAGTGAGTTTGTTGTTGTTGTTGTTGTGTTGTTTACTACATTGGAATTCTCCTATGTCCAGGTGCTTGGTGTTGTAATTTCTTAGTGCTGCTGTAACAGATATACCGTAAGTGGGTGGTTTTAAAGAACAAAAATTTATTTTCTCACAGTTTAGCAGGCTAGTAGTTCTAATGCAGAGCACTAGCTCTAGGGGAAGGCTTTTTTTCTGTCAGCCCTGGGAGGAGATCCTTGTCTCAGCTTCTGTAACCCTGGCATTCCTTAGTTCCTTCATGATACTTACATGTGCTTTGGACTTCTCAATTTGTGCTGGCTTGTCTCTGTGCCTAATCAGCTTTTTTTGTATCTCAAGAGTGATTGCGTTTAAGACATAGCCTAACTGATATGGCCTCATAAACATAACAAAGGAAATCTTATTCCCACCAAAAAAAATCCCATAGGTATAAGAGTTAGGATTCCAACACATATTTTGGAGGGGAGCACAATTCAGTCCTTAACACTTGACATTCTTCAGTAACTGTGTAGCTTTCATTACTAAAATGATTAAATATAGTCCTAGCACTGGCAGGCCCACCTGGTTAATAATGCACCTTTTAGGGCAGTATCTTTTCACTGCTACTCACTCTTCTTGATTTCGTTTAAGAGGGTCCTGGCATGTGGTTTGAGTGTGTGTCTTTTTATTTATTTGTTTGTTTGTTTATTTATTTATTATAAGAGCTTGTTTTACATTCAAAGTCATGTGTACATTTAGTTTCATTCCCCATTCGCTGTGTCCAACCCTAACCCAGTCTCCTCCCCTAACCCAGTCTCCTCCCCTCCCTACCCTGCAACACTCCCCCTGTGCCCCAAGTGTGTGTCTTTTGATAGCACCAAATGTTCATGGATTCTCTTTTGGGACAGTGATTCACAGTTTGTTCTGTCTCTGCATTGGTATCTTTCCTTTGTTATTTTTTTCCTTTCTTCTGTCACTTATGCTTTGGGCACTTGAGGGAATATCTGGAAGATGCCATTTAGTATATTTGGTTAAGTGTTGTCATCATTTGTGATTTTAATGTGTGAGTGACTTACAAGTCCTTGTGAATGTTTTTCTTTCAGTGGAAAATATACCCCGTGCACCTGTGATTGAGAGTCCAGCTAATGAGACGATGGTAGTGGAATTGGGTAAGTAGACTTCCATCGGGATGTGTTGAACTCATTATTTTGAACTCAAGATTAATATAAAGTGTACCTTTACTACACCTTCCAAAAAAAACCCAGACTAGTTGCTGTGGAGTTGACTCTGACTCATAGTGACTCCATGTGTGTCAGATTAAAACTATGCCGCATAGAGTTTTCAATGGCTGATTTTCTTCTGAGGCACTTCTGAGGGATTTGAACTTCCAACGTGTCTGTTAACAGCTGAGCACTGTTAACCATTTTCACCACCCTTACTCCTTACTGCATATAGCCTAAGATGTTTCCTAAATAATTCTATTATTAGAGGAAAATGGCACAAATTAAGTCTGAAGATTTTCTTTGGATTTTTTTTCTATTTCTCACGGCAAAAGTCTAGCCATGCCTGATTTGTTCACTCTAATTTGCTATGGACATTTACTAACCATGAAAACACCAGTCACAAGGCAAATTTCATTGG